CCCACATATTTTTCATGTTTTTGTCTGCTACCAATTTTTAATCATTAAATTGTTAAATTGTTGACCGCAATCCAAGAAGCGAAGAGATGTAAAACATTTTTTTAGGTTCAAAAGGATTAAGGGAGGAAACACTTGTTTTTCATTTTAAGTGGAAAGTCCCCTGACATAGAATGGCAAACCTAACAATTCTGACAGGGCCTCTTGATACACGTCGACATTTTCTAGTGTTTAAATAGCAAAACAGTTTTGACAGAGGGTCTCCTGTTTGCTAATGTACCTCCCTGCAAAAGCAAATAGAAACGACTTTGGGATCCGACCCGTATGTTATGAGTTTGGCCGGTGATTAAAGGTGTTAAAAATGTCTCCTGGCATATCTGAAAGGTTGTGGAAAGGGCCAAAGAGCCAACAAAAGCAGGAGGAGTGCTGGGTGTCACCACGGTCTAGTGGCCCAAGCTTTAGCATCTGGCTAACTGATATTGTTCAGGGATCTTGGCCGTCTTCTCTGGTTCACTGTGGAGCTTCCAATGTTATATCCTGGATGGCAGGCGCTCAAGCACTGAAACATTAGAATCCATTGTAATTCAAACAGAGAGGAGGAAAAAAAATCTTGTGTGTGGTCCTTTAGAGCTATTACACTGTTCCTTGGCTACTCTGATTTTTTCCCTTTTTTTAGCAAGAGCTCAGGGAATATTTCTTTGGCAAGAAGAAGAGGCTAACCCATTTATCGATGAGATAATGTTATTATTAATTGTGCATTAGTTACTAATCACACAGGAAGTCCACAAACATTAGGCCAAAATAGACAAAAAATGATACATATGTGCAATTTAGGCTCTACATCTGTGTCAGCTAGACCCAGGGCTCATAATCATCTCTGCCACTTTTACATGGAAGACTTTAAACTGCACTGCAGATTCAGATTCCTCCTTGATATGTTTTTGTAATAGTATTTGCAACATAAAGCCTGGATGTCATGGGGGAGTTTGTTTTTAAAGTACAGAGTTAGGGGTCTGCTTGCAAGTGTGAAAGATATTTTCCACTCATTACCAAAGGCGAGTGTTTGAAAGATTTGCATTTCAGCCAAGGCAAACCAAATATTTCACTACAGCAATCCCTAGTAATGTGGATAATGGTACTGGTCGGTAAAAGATTGCAGCTTCTTCAAAAACCACCATTTTGCTGTACCAGTTGTGTTTCAGGGCAATTATGCGGTACATGACTTGTATTGTTTAATACATTATATTACAAGCTTAATAGAAAAATTAAGATGAAAACATATGAGGAGACAAAGAAATAAACCTTGATTAGGAAAAATAATCAGACAAAGGAGTAAAGTCAGTGAGCATAATACAAATATCGTGTGTCACAGACAGATTTAGTATATACTTTCTAAATGTATTATAATATTGGAAGACATCAATTCAATTATGTTGTTCTTTTCCCAGATACTCGGAAACATAAAAAATGGTGCTTATACATTTTAATTACAAAATTCTATCACTGACATAAATGCCTTCAGCCATACTGAATATCAATGTATATTATGTACAATTTTAAGACACTAAAACACGGCCCTACAAAAGCTTTCTGTAATAACAATATTCTGTAAGCTGCCTGCTCTGATATTGTGTTGAATTAGAAGCTTTGACTTTTTATTCTTGAGGGGTTTTAAACTTGACCTTTATGCTGGGCCCTTCTCCCCTCTGACCACCCCCCTTCTCCTTTCCATCGTTCTCATAAACTATAGCTGGAAACTCCCTGTGCAATAAGATTTTGCCTCATTCTTGAAGCAATGAAGTGCATTCTTTTCTCCACATGCAGCATGAGTGGCAGCTGTCACAGTGTATCATCATTATCCTTGGCAGCCCTACAGGAAATCAATGTGCAGCCTACGAAAGTGGATACAATTCTCACTGAGCTGTCTGAGGCCGCCTGGATTAGAAAGGCCCTTGTCTGCAAGTTGGTTTTAACCATAAACAAATAACAACAAACCCCTTAATTCCAATTGAAAACTGAATGAGGTGGTAGGAGTTGAAACAGACACAGATTAAGGTGGGGAATAAAGAGAGAAAACGCTTTTTAAGAAAATAAGCACTTCGGAATACTAACTCCAGCTGCCTTTGTAGTTTTTTTCTTGTTGTTGCTGTTGACCTGGTGGTTTCAACAAATGGTAGAGAGGCTGGAATTCAGATCAGAGCGTGATCAGTTCGGCCCCCAGCTGAGATCCACTGACCCTCAGACTTAGTGGACAAAGAACATCCCACTGAAAGACCTCATAGGAACAGGTATACGAAGGAAAAACAATACAGGGAGAGAATCCAGAGCACTGTGACACTCTTAACCATAGATCTCGCTGAAAACAATAGATCCAAAATCACATCTAAAGTAAGAACTTCTTGCAGCAAATTTAAAAGAATAAATTATTATCTTTCTTTTATTCAGACATCTAACTTACTAACATATTAGGAAATAATATTTATGTTGCTTTTGTTTCAAACTACTTGACTTAGGTGAAACAGCTGCATGGATCACCTTATGTTTGGCTCCCTGATTTTCCAGATCTACACTCAAGAGGAAATTTATTGCACTACAGTACCACATATTATAGAATGACTTGTTCCTTAGGAATAACCCATCCTGTCAAAAGTAGCAGGAAGGGCTCAGTATTTGGGGGAAAAAATTCAAAACAAATAAAACCTAAACAGCCACCAAAAAATTATATTCAAAATATATTTTTTATAAATAGTTATTGTTAGATAACACTAACAATAATTAGGCATGTATACTTTTAGACCATAACAATATGGCCAATCCTGGAATGTTCATTTAAACATATCTATTTTCTGGGCATTTTACTGTTTGATACATTTACTGTTGCACTGTTGCACTGAATGACCTTTGCCGTAAAGGCAGGAATATTATAATTTTAAATAAATTTAAATTTAAAGTATCATAGTTCACACACAACAAAAGAAATGTTAAGCATAAGTAAAATAAGTAAATAAGTAAATTTATGTCAAAATCACATCTTTCACCTGTTTTGACGTGTTTATGTATTTTAAAGGGCAGTTGGTGTGAGTTTAACATAATTATCCAACCCTTAAATAAAATCCAAACAATGTTCACAATTAAATGTCTCTAGCCCTAGCTTTCTGTTTGCTGTAAATTAGTCCTAAGTACTGTGTATGAAACTGATCTGTCAACACACATGCAGACCAAAAATGAGCTTTTTAACTTATCAGACACACGAAAATACCTGTTACAAAAAACAATTAGTGACAACAGGTCACTAATTTTTCATCCACATTGTAACAGCCTTATTACATAAAGACTGGGGTATATAAGATAATACAGCACAGGTTTTTGATAGCAAGATCAGATCAGGAATAAAATACACAAAAGCCGTTTCTTTTAATTGTACTATTCTTCAAATTTATACTAATACAGTCAAGCCCTCCTGCTCAAATCCTCATAGAATGTAATGCTGTGAAAAGCCCTTTAAAAACCTGATGGGTCTTCAGGTCTGTAAAGGCAAACATGTGTGGCAGGCCTAATGTTCTAAATGAAAGAGCTCTTCTTTGATTTTTAAAATACCGGAATCAGTGAAGCAATTTGCAACTCAAATTTAAGGACATCACTAATCAGTCTTGAGAGATCACTGGCGACACATTCTCATTAAGTATGAGCACAGCTATAGATGTTCTTTTTTTGGAAAGAGAAAAAAATCAATAGGCATATCATACATTCTGGGACTAACTTCTCCAAGCTGCCATTACAGGAACACTGTCACACAAAGAAGAATCACGGTAAGTTTTTGATACAGACAACAGCGATCACATTGATCATTCTCCCAGTGTGCATCATCTTACACATCAGCGGGAGTGAATATTGAGGAGGTTGGTGTGCTTATCCATGCTTAGCAAAGTGCAGAGAAACTCCACCAAAGACATATAAATATTTTAGTGTCTTGTAACAGCTCATCCCAGAAATCAGAGGCAGTCAAATGCTGTCACATAAAAGTGAGCCTTATGAAAAACGACATTTCCATAATGTTGTGTAAATGATGTCATCAGATGTCATATCTGAAAACTGACCAACTGGATTAAAAGGTTAAAAATTAGTCCTCTCTTCAAACTGTATACTCTAGGTAAACAACCAGCTATGTGGCAGTGTCAAAGCCAATGGGCTGGGCTCAGTGATGTGTAACATAACAAATGAGGCCTGCTTGACTTGCACTGACCTCTCTGCTGGTAAGTTATGGTATTATTGCAGCTGACCGAGCCTGACAGAAACTATTTCTCTTTAGAAAGAAGCAGCCATATTACAAATCACACTAAGCGTTTAAAGCACTCAATGTTTAGGTTGTTCAGAGATAGTCAGAATGCAATATTCAGGACTGCAGAAAACTTTGTCTCTCTTGCAAAACAATGCAATTTGTGCACATCATTTCACTTTCAATTTCAGATGTTGGCTAAGGGTTTATAGGATTTTATCCACAAGTTCAAGCAAAGCTTTTAGAAATTTAACCCTAAACGTAATGAGATGGTAGAAATTATTGTATTAAATGGATTTTATAAGGCAATTACTGCTGCAAAGCTGGGAAGGTTGTGTTTTGGTAAAACAAGAGTTTAGACACAGACAGTTGGTGTACGCTTTTCAAAACAGCATGAACCGTGTTAAGATAAATTAAGCACCTTGCTTTTGTACAACAAATCTTTTAAGTTGGTAGTGGGAGATATTATCACCATGTTTTTGCCATCTAAATTCAGAACTAAATATATAAGCTGCTGTACTGCAATTTCAGTTTGTCTGCCACGACAGAATGAGTCATGGCAGCTAAACCCAAATGTGTAAATTCCCAAGATGAATAAATAACAAGGCCTCAAGTGAAATTTCACAGCACATCTGCTGAGTATATGCGACTTCAGGCATAAAAGCAAAGCACTGGTTTCTTTTACTTTTCAACAAAGTGAAAATATATATATAGTATAGTTACTTACATGTGATGTAGTAGCTTATATTCCGTTTGAACTCCAGGCCCATATAGTTTGGACTGAACTCCTGGAACTTGATGGTGAACTTGATGTCTTTTTCAGGCTTGTTACAATTAACCAGCACATTGGGGTCCATAACTGTACTACAGGAATCTGCCTGGATCTTCTTCACCAAGTACAGCTTATAGTACTCATATGGTCGTCCAACTTCAGCCTTTGGGCAAATAATGTCCAGCTTGTCTCCTATCTCAGGGTAAATCACCAAGCCCTTTCCAGGCAAAAACCTACAAAAGAGAAAGAACAGAAAGGGTTCAGATAAATAATCATTAAACTTTTACAATGTTACACATAAACATTATGTGAAACAGACCAGTATTTCTCATTATATATTTTAATTATTTATGCTTAACCAGTACAACATATTTGTATGTAATTCTATCTGAAGCACATACATTCTTCTTATATATTTTGGTTAGACTTTAAGGAAAATGTCTTAAAAGTGGATATTTTTGGTAAAATTCGTAGAACCAGCCAGGCGTTATTATGATTCGCTTCACACAATTTGTTGAGTGTGCAAAAACTGCTACACCAAAGTGCTTTAAATTTAACTTAAATGCATGTCCTACTCTTGCTAAGTATCCGATTCCAAGACACAACACTGCAGAAATCTGCCAGTGCAAACCACTACAGGATACTGGTTTTTAAGTAGTCAAGTTATGATGGATGAATGAAATTAAGAGACACAATTTACCCCATTTAAACTCAAGGATACATTTATGGCTTCTAAAATAGAGGGCCCTCAATTTACAATTTTCCTTTCAAAAATCAAACCTCCCTCTAGATACAAGGCTGTTAATAACTTGGGAAAATTGGCATGTTTCTAGTAAATTATGCTGCTGATCTATCTTAACCTAAGAAGATATTATCTGTCAGGACCAGGTTTAACACTTATTCCAGCAAACGTATACAACAAAGCTGAGAACATAAAAGAAACAAGTGAGTATAATCCTGTCACACTTATTCACACCTACACATTAACACTAAAACCAAGCTGCATTTTTAAAGAGTGAATCAGACTGTCCTACATGCACATTTTTTTCCATTATTACTTAAAGTCTGCTTCTGAACTGTACTAGACACGCATGACTTTCAGTATCACCTTTCTCTTTTGGGATACCTGAAAGTCAATTCTTTCCTATGCCACTTGCTACCAAACAGGGCAATCTAGGCTAGATTCATACAAAACATTAAGCCATTTTATATTCCCATTTCATGCTTAAAGCCAACTTTTGTATATTGCTTTATAAGAAAAACAAATGTTTTATAAATGTCCAGGTTCCAAAAAAGGAATTAACCTTTGTACAACACTGTTGTAACAGTAGCTGGTGATAAAAAAAAATGCTATACTCAATATTTTGTCATCCCTTTTAAAGGAGAAATCACACATCGCCTGTCAATAGTACCAACATTTTAGTTCCAACTCATATGCACACATGCACACACACACACACAAAGCACAGCTACATCTTTATTATATCAGGCAAATAATACCCAACCAGATGTTAATGGGAAATCAGATCTGTTTCATGCAAACTCCGCTTTGCTCCTGATTGCATTTAATCTTCGCTGGTTCAGGAGAAATAGATGATGAAACGATTGCCCTGATGGGCAGATGGCACCCCGACGCTGCTTCTTTAAAATTCATTTTGATGTTTCTCTCTCTAATTCAGAGCAACATGCTCTAGTGCATTTTAATTAAGGATTTAAAATAGCTGTTTACCTTTTGTGCTTTATAATTCATGAGGTCTTGTTTTTTCTTAATTTAACCCTTCGGTAATGTTGACAAATCCACATTCAGCACAAAATAAAAGTGCTGATACAAACTGTCTAGTTTGGGAACAGCAGTTTACAGTGAACTCTTTTTACAGTCTCCTGTTTTTTTCAGAATCTGAAATCAAGTGAAACAATGTCTGCCTTAGCTATATAAATAGGAATCTAGAAACAAAATGTATATGTTTAAAATGTTTGGCTATAAAAGACGGGCAGTAGTGGGTTCTGAGCATTATTTACCACGTGCACTGTGCATGTACATATGGAACAGATTTAAAAATAAATACTGGGTTCAAAACATTATATAAATGCATATTTTTTTTTAACTTGGAAAAAAAATTATAGTGTACATGACCCAATCATTATTTGTATTGCCTCAGATAAATTACTTAATTTTTAAAGAAACTATTCAGAACATCTAAGTTGAAAAATAGTTTGGCTTTCTGATATTAATGTCATCTAGTTAATTCAATAGAAACCGTTTGTACACTGAGAAACATTAGAAATGCAACAAATGCTTTGGTTCCAATATTCACTTGTTGTGTTTTATTGCCTGTGAGTGGACTGAAAACCAATTAACTGTATGTATTTTTAAAAGTCTAGTCTTCTTTCTTTCACGTACCCATCCAGCTGATGGTATCTGTTACAGTACCAAGGAAACTGATGATTGTGTTCTTTAAGTTTAATTACAACAGCGAAGCCAAGAAAGACAAGCTCACACAATGAGTGACATTCCAGTGGAATGGAATGGAGTCTCGTCCACCACCCTCCAAGAGACGTTAACAAAAATAATATTGTTATGCCACAAGCACCAAAGTCAATAGCATGCCTCATTTCTGTCACAATCGCTAGCACATGTATCAATAATCAAAAATAAGGCTTTGGTTTCTTCATTATGAAGAGTAGGGAGGCCTTTTTTCAAGCAGTTGGTAATCAGGTCTGCACTTTTAGTTTACAATTTAATTTACCACCCACCTTTTCCATAGCCCTTATTTGTGCACCTATTAAAGCAGCAGCCGTTCACATTTTTCGCAATGTGTGATTGCTGCTGAGTGTCTATAAATACATTTTAATGTTTCGAGTATTGCAAAATTGATTCTTTACAGTCTGGCTCACACTGGCGTTTGAGGCATATTGGCATCAGAGTAAACCACATGAGTGAAGCCTACGGACACCCCCTGTGTTGCAGTCTGGTTCCAGATTCTATGGAACTACACTTCAAGCTAAACCAATTGATCCAGCATTTGCCCTTATCCATGATTATAAGGTTTTGGGCTTAAGACCAAAGTTTTTCATTTTATCTCCTGCTAAGCTCTCAAACTTCACTGGAAACCTTGATGTTTAATAAAAATCTTTTGATTTAAAAGGTCTATAATGAAATCCTGCTGCTAATCTGCCTTTTATATTTCATCCAGCAGACCAATGACTGTAAAGGTACATAAATAAAAATGCTTAAAATAAATGAGTCAATACTGTGAGAATAAAAGGAGAAGACACTGTTGAAATGTGCATCAAATCCTGAGTTAATATTGAGATGGTATTGTTATCTACCTCAAAAAAGAACATGTACACAGCCAAGAAAAAACAACTCATTACACAGCAAGTTTCAGCATACATAACGTTGTTCATCTTTTATACAATTTAAATGTTATCTCAAAAAAAATTCTAATACAGTGCACTATGGTAATGACTCTCCAACATCACATTATTGATATTGTTTCATATTTTCAAAATGTAAAAAAAGAATACAAAAGGGATTTTTGGGGGGGTTTTCAATGCTATGCTATTATAAACTTACACAGAAGAAACAAGTCCTGTCTGCCAAGTAAAAACACAAATTTGTGTTGATTACCGAGACAATCTGTTTTTGTGTAATCTCTACGTATATGTAAAGAATTTTAGAAAGACGCAATAACTTCTCCTAAAAAAGCTCTTACAATAAGAATTTAGAATTAAGATATTTAGCAATATCGCAGAACCTTTCCTCAATAATAGCAACAATACTGTTTTTTTTCTGGAACGCTGGCATAGTTCACAAATCCAACTGTCCGTGTTTTGATTAGTTACTTAGAAAATAAAAATTATAATACATGAAATAATGAAAACTGGAAATGGATTACAGTAAAGGATGTGTATTTAACTCAGCAAGGGCTATAATCTGTATAAAACATTTCAGTGCAGACAACGTCTCACAATGACATTAACCAAAATGAAAATCAGTATGTTGTTGACCAAATTTCCACATTTCACTTTTCTGGAATGTGTGCTATATCACGACTGACAATTCCAAACAAAGATCATTTTGAAAATAATCTGCAATATACAGTATACCTTGGTGCTTTTTTGTCGTTAGAAACAATATCTGCATGCTTATTTATTCAGCTCTATCAAATGCCTCAGGGAGCAAATTACAATGACGTATCTCGACTATGAAATAGAAAACTGGCAATTAGTATGTCTCATATCACCATTCAGCAGACTAGACAGATTCACGACAGTTTTTTTGTTTTAATTATAAGGCATTGCTTCATGTTTTGGGGCACTAGTTTAAGGGACAAATTTATACTTTAAAATCTACACAGAAAAAGAATTGCACTAAACACAACCAAGCATTCTTTGGAAATAGGTATATGTCATACATCAAACAGATTGGTCCTTAATGAAAGTTGCAAACACCTACCTAGCAAGTTATAAGCAGAGGGTTTCTGATACAGCAATTTGTAAAAATAAGTCCTCAAAAACGAAGGGGTTTTCAGGTTTTTGAATTCTTGCAACTTTGGTAAGTACAGACTGGAAGTACATCTTAAAATCATACGGCAGAAAAGGCAATGCAAAAATGTGCTGAAACAATGAGAACATAATTATCTTGTGTATGTCTGTCTGAACAACATTGTCATTTATTACATTGTTCTGGCACAGATTGTTCTGAAATTTTAATTAAGTAAAATTATTAAATTACATATATGTTCTCCATCCTACAATAACTGTAATAAGATTTTGGATCCTTACCTAATCAGTGCACAGAGATACTATTTAACGTTTCGGAACTTATTCCTGGCTGAAGGTGAAGGGTTTGTGCAAAATGAAAAGTTTATTTCTTTTTTGTAATATAATTACATTGCTGGAAAACATTAATTGTAAGGAGAAATTGTAAAATTGTAACATTTTTAATTTTCATTTTTCATAAACCTCTTGTCATTAAGAGTAAGGAATCAATCTATTTTCTTCAATAACAATGCGACAGGCTTTCACACATCAGCAGATTTGGTTTTCTATTATAATTGGATATAACCAACAATAAGAAAATTATAAAAGCATAAGAATGGTTATATAACAGAGGTAACCTATAAGTACCTCTAACAAAATTCTAAACTTAAAAGCCCTAGAGAAACCTATGTCTGCAGTTTTTAGACTTGTCAGTCGGTATGATCAAACTACTGAAAAATGTTACCAA